TTGGATTTGGATTTCGATACTTTGGCTTCACTTGGATGAACCGACGGCTTGAACGACTTGAACGACTTGAGATATATACGGATGAATACAAGAGGGTTAGTGGATAAACGTATTAGGATATAGAGACATACTCAAATATAGATACGTAAGTTGGGAAACGAGGAGATAGAGTCGAAATGACTATGCGGTCGGTGGTTAGTGGGTCTGGATTTGATGGACCGGTCACGGAAATGGTGAGGATTGGATTGAGAGGGGAGATAGGGGTGGGAGATTTGGAGGGAGAGGGGGAGGGAGAGGCGGAGGAGGCAGCGAGGATTTGTAGGTGTGATTTTTTGTTTTTTGTTTTTCTAGGGGTGGGGAGGGGGATGGGATTGGGGATTAGATAATGTAAAGCTGGTTGTGTAAGAGGATGGATCTAAGTAGGGTATTGCTTCAAGTGGGCAGTACGGTCTAAGTATGAGGATAAGAGTTCAGAGGTGAGAACTTAGAAGCGAGATTCAAAGGATGGAAAGTAGGTGACCACGAGTGTGGTGAACCCGGGTTGGAATGGGGGGAATAGGATAGGGATAGGAGGCGGAGTAATTGAGTTTGAGGGCTTGCTTAGCTTAAGCTTGTCACGATTAGAATTCGACTTTATGGAACGGATAGATGGAGGGATGGATGAATGGAATTCAAAGGACCAGACTAATTAGATATAACCAATATAGGGCGTGAATCTCTAGATACAATAGCGGCCCAGAAAGGATGTACAAATTCTTATTATGGTGGAACATTGGAGGATGAGGGAGTGTTAATTTGGTGTATCGGTTTGTGTTTTCCTTCTTATTGCTTCTTTTACTGATTTTTGACTATGTTGAGAGGCTTGCTGTCACTTGTTGTTTTCTCTTTCTTTTCTACATATTTATTCCATCTGCTCAAGTTCCCGTCGTCTTCTTACACAAGACAGAAGTCCAAATCAATTTAAATCTCTACTAACCCCCACTCCAAAGACTGGACATCCCTCGCCTCCCACAAAGCCTTTATGGATTCTCCAGCCTATCCAGCCTTTCTAGAAAACCTACAGCCGATTATGGGAAGTGCGGAAATCATACACGCAAGCAGATTGGATGTCACGGGCGCGATTGCAAAGGGAAATGCGGAGCAGAAGGGGGGTGTAATGGAAGTTGCTACGTTTTTTGATGTGGAGGATGTTTTTCTTGAGGTAGGTGGTGTTTTATTTAAATTGTTATTTGTGATCTCCGTACAGATCTAAATCCAAGATTTGATGAGTTGGAAGAATGAGAGAATGAGAGGATGAGAGGATGAGAATCAGATCAAGTAAAAGACTAAGAAAAACAAACAGGGAGTAGAATATTTCAAAACCGCACTCCGCAAACTTCACGCAGAGAAGAAAATCGCGGGATTTCTCGGCGTGATCGATTCCGGAGAGGTAATTGAGAAGATCGCCAAGAATGAAGAGGCGATGGAGGAAGAAAAGGGGAGAGCTTTGGTTTTAATGGTTGGGTGGGAGAGTAAGGATGCTCATATGGTGGGCTTCTATTTCTTACTTTATTGGTTTTTTTCTTTTGGACCTTGGAGATGCTCGGATGGGGTTGATATAGTGAGGGGATGTCATGGATGGGGGGATGGGAGATGGGAGATGGAAGAATTTGGGGCTAATTTGTGTGATTGTGAAAAATAGGCATTTAGAGAGACGAAGGAATTTGCGGATAATATAGCATATTTGAGAAAGGGGACGAGTGGGGTGGATATGGTGAGTTTGTGTCTTTCTCTTGTCTTTTGCTTTTGATTTTTTGGAGGGGAGGGAGGGGGAGGGGATGGAATGGGATTGTGGTAAGAGGGATTTGAGAAAAGGTATTGCGGAGTCGAGAAAAGAGACAGCTAACATATATATCAGTTCCACGTAGCGTTTAAAAATGCATAGGTATTTAATACAGATTGATAGATATTTGTATACTATAATACAATTCAATACATTGCAATCCAATAAACACTCCGATATCCAATGTTAATGCAAGTATCTATCTATCTTATTTCAGTCTGTAGATATATTATATTATATATTACACATCATCATACCTGGGTATGAGTATCAACTCCTAAATAGTTAAAGTATATCTCACTTGTTCGGTTAAAACTTAACAAGTTGTATATCAGAAAGGAGATGGGAAAGAAGAAAGAGGAAATAGGATATTAGCGATTGGAGAGTTATAAACTTGATTTTTATTATCTAGGTATCTAGATATCTAGCTAGGTGGTGTATATGGGATATTCATCTCTTGATATCTCTATTGTTTATTCATGTCTCTTCTGAGAACATTATAGTGATGAACATCATATTGATAAACATCATATTGATAAACATCATATTGATAAATGTTATAGTGAAAATGTTTTTATCCTCTGATGATTTGATATTTCTAATTGTGGGATTACTTCTACTTTTACTTTTACTTTTACTTTCACTTTTACTTCTATTTTATCTGTATCTATATACACAATCCCCCCTTTTTTCTTACTCGCTAATTCTTACAGACTACACTACACTACACTCACTCACTCACTCACCCACTTACATCCAATTCCAATTCCAATTCCAATTCCAATCAAGTCCCTCATCACAAACCTCTCCACCTCTCCAGCCCCATACTTTACTTCCCTCAAATTTCACAAACTACCAAGCTATTTATAACATACTAATACCAATACCAACATCAATATCCATCCACATACACAAGATATCATCAGCCCTAACTCCTAATGATCTGTTTAGTGACACTTATGCTTGCGTTGTTGTTTTGCCTGTAACTTCTTTTTCTCTCTTCTTCCTTCTCTTCTTCCACACAAACCACCAATTCACAAACTCAGAACATAGTGAACGATACACTATACCTATACTATCACTTACCAACACGTAACCTTAAGAATAATTATAACAAGTACCTATAACATATGTGATAACATCATATAATATTATATTATACATCTACATCTACATTTACATCTATACATACTATCCATTCATCACAAGACCCTACAGAACCCCTCATAGTAATAGTAATAACAATAGTAATAACAATATCAATACTCACAATAATCACATTCTCAAACTCATCCCATCTCCATTTACAAAACTTGTAACATCTAATACTTCTTCAAATTTCAAACTTCAAACTTTACTTGATATCTCTATATCTTTAACGTGGTTCATTAGTATATAAGCCATATCATTATATGAGTCACTTCATTTTATATATAAAATTCGTTTGTATATAATTATATTTTCGAAAGCGACAGATTGAGGTTCGAGTTGACGGGGATAAGAGGATGATGGGGTAGACACAGGACAAAGCACAACAGGACATTCGAGGGAAGATGGGGGGATTTATACCCCACTACAAAGGACAAGATAAATGATAAACGAGAGATTAAGTAAAGTAAACAAAAAGGAAAAAAGTAAGGAAGATAAAAAGCAAACAAAGAAACATAATTATTATAAAACAAAGGCAAATAATTATAGGGTTATATTATTATAATGATAATAACATTAATAACAATAAAAAAAATCGTCGCATTATAAAAAAGAGGAAAGGGGGCTTATATCATTATGCTGAGTGAAAATAGACTATATATTACTAACTTATAGAATGGAAACAAAACAACCATAATAATATTGTCTTCAAAAGTACAAATATTATAGGCTATAAATATTGAACAGAATAAATATATAATATAGGCAACTTAATAGAATATTAAAAAAGAATAGGTTTTTATATCTTTTTTCTATCTATTTTATTCAATTAAACATAGATACAGGTGTATTACATGGTCTTAGTATAGCTATATAGATCGAATCGATTATGAATTTACTATTACTACTATAATTATATACTTTCTTTATTAGTCAATAAAATTTTGTAATTTTTTTTATACAAGATCTAATTTTTCAACTATTTTAAAAATCTAATCATTATCAAAGTTATTAAACAAAAAAAGGTTTTATAATACAAAGTATAATAATTTCGAATTAAAAAAAATATAAAAAAATAATTAATTATTAAAATATAAATATTAAGAAAACCTTGATTTTGATGTATTTTCGAAATGGTTTATATACTAATATGACCTATATACTAATAAACCACGTTATACTATAGCTCCATTTCCCACTTTAGTTTACTCATATATATACGCACCTCACATATCGATCGCTCCCAAATATCTTACATATCATGTAATGTAATGTAATACTCTCCTCTCTATCCGTCACCCATTTATCCCCCATTTCTTCTTCATGAGCGAGTGCATCGTATTTGTCTCTCTATCTGTCTCTAATAAGTATGTAAGTCTCTCTCACACACACACGCACACACACTCTCTCTCTATCATCCATACACATACAAGTACTCTCTCACCCCCCCCCTATTATCCATCCATTCAACAAACAAAAACCCTTATAACAATGTTTTGAAGACATGAACAATATCCCGAAGCCGACTATTTACGCATACCTGGTATTCGAAGAGTAAACCAAAGGGATCGGGAAGAAGGATTCATTTTGGAGAAGCTACAATATATTACACGCCCGCATAATTAGCCACCAGAAACATAAATTCAAACTTCAGGACAACGAAGAAAGACCACGAACCCCTAATAAACTTTCAAACAAAAGTAATTATACAAATAAATATGTTACACTCAAGTTTATACTTGAGAACATTACTTCCTCTCCAATGTCATTAATTCATACCCATACCCATATCCATATCCATATCCATATCCATACCCATTTATCCAACCCAGAACCTCCCTAGACCGACCAACCCCAACCCAACCTCATACGATCCCATTCAATCCAACCAATTGATCATTTTCTTCTCAAAAACAAAAGTGTATCATGATATCATTCGTACATATAGCAACCATTCCGCCCATCTCAAACCTGCACTTTTGTCATCTAATGCAATGTACAACGCCTGCTAGCCATGCATGCTAATAAACTATTTAGCATGGGAAACAATTTCCGCATAAACATCATCCGGAATTTTCTTGATGATAGTAAGTGTGACTTCTTTAATGGTATCCGCTTGTAAAGGAGGGAAAGATCTGAGAATCTTTGTAGGACTTTGATTTTCATTAGTTGGAGTGATATATAGTATAAGCAACCCTCAGAACTTACCTAGGAGAACTCATTATTGAATGCCTGAGAGTAACAAGTTGTGCCACGATACAAAGGATATTGAGATGGGCACCATAGGCAAACAAGAAATCCCAAAGACGGAGCACCTCGGGTAATGGAGGGGTACATGCGCATAGAGTGAGTACTGAAGGGAAAGCATAAATTTCTGCACTCATACCCTTTCCAATCAGATAAAGACTCAATTTTGGATCAACAATAGCTAGAACTTTATCCACTAATGCGAGTCCTTTATGAACACCATCCATGGCACCTCTCACATAACCAGGAACTTCAGTTGTGATGAAGCGATGAAAAGCAGCAAATGCTTCAGATTCGCTACGGGCAGCGTAGAGGAATGGTGCAGCGAGTACATTCATGCCTTGAACATATGTACCCGGTTCTCCAGCCCCGACATCAGAACCTTCCGTTGTTAAAGTCAGAGCACGAGCTCTAGATCTCATACTTGGCGAAGAAGGACCTCGTTCTGGAGAACCTTGAATAGCCGCCTCCATAATCTGTCTATTTCGGTATTCTGCTCGCGCCTCTTTCGCATCGTGTAATTTCCATGCTACTGCATTTAAGAGTCGGATTAGGCTTGCTTCACTAACTCGGCGGCGGAAAAGAGGATCGGTGGCTAGAGTTCGAAAGGTATCATTTCGAATTTTTGAATAGGCGGGAGATGCACCGCGATGGATTAGAGATAGATATGCGTCGGTTTCAAGGGTAGGTGCATTGAGTAAAATAAGCCAGATGTAAATGCGCAAAGAGGACTATCGACATATAAGTATTTGCTGGCAGAAGTGATGGTGAAGTGGAAATGGAGGAATTGACAAACCATTCCATCGCTATCACTCTTAACCCCTTGATCCAATATTTTCAATCTCATACTCTCCAAACTTCCAATGATATCTCCATGGGGGGGGCCCTCTCTAAGTAGACGATCTAACGACATACTTTCTGTCGCGGTAAGTTTTCTGTTTGATGTAGGGCGCCTCATTGAAGAATTTGGGACTGGGACCATGTTCGTTACATCACTGTTGGATCTTGCTCTAGAATGAGTTGTAGTTGACGATTGTGTAGCATCTTTTGGCACGGGCGGGATAATCTTTTGCAAAGCTTGCTTATGTTGTTGTGAGATCAGGGATGGTTGATTGAATGATGAACCTAGAGTGTGCGCGGACTGTAATCTTCTCAAAGCTCGGCGGGGAGATGCTGGCGGGTTGAGTACAGAATGGTTTGGAGGGGCCAGTGTAGGAAACTGGAATGCGTCTTTGGTGGGGGGTGAAGATGCCATTTTGCTATCGCATTGTTTGTTGATAGAGGATGGAGGATGGAGGATTAAGAATACGGTTGGAGTGATGGATTATCTGTTCTTGAGATCCAAAATGGTGAATATGATTATGGGAATACAATCGTATGAAGTATGGTATCGTTCTATTTTCTATTGTACTGTCTGTTATCAAATTGAGCTGTTGTCCTGTCAGCAGAAGTCTGAGCGAAGGGTGAAGGATGAAGGATGAAGGATGAAGGATGAAGTGTGAAGTGTGTTTAAAGTGAAGTTGGAGTTGGGGCTGTTTTTGTGACTTCTCATAATTTATTACCAATGACAACCAGCTGAGTTATACATACATAACTTACAACCACCACCAAAAAGATACCTACCTAATGTACAAACCTAGGAAGATATTATGAATGCTTCGTTCATACCTATGTTAATCAAAGCAGAACGACGATGATGTCCTTCTCAGTGTCTTTTGGCTTTTACCTCAATCCAACGACATATCGATAAGGATCCTACCCAGGTACACCAACCAGCATGAAAATGATGGCACGTGAATAGATATCATGTGATATAGAATCAATCTTCCACCTCGAAGTGAATCCTCAAATCTTGGAAATTTGAAGGCAAAAGAGGAAGCTTGATCAGACTTTAAAAGCGTTCTCGACAATATCTCTCATCAACGCGACGACTACTCTTTTATCAGCCCCAAACGCTCCATCCGCAGACGCTATTGTCAGGACTAGCTCATATTGTATCTCCCAAGACATTTGGCTGGCAGGAGGTTCCTTCATGTCCATCTCCGCGGGACCCGGGTTCTTGTTGGTAAGGGAAAGGGAAAGATACTATCTTCAGTCGGGTGGTCTCGATGTTCAATAATCAAAATACAATTTTGCACTCCATCTCATTTACAATATAGATCTCAGCTCCGAAATCTTAGCTTTTAAGCCTCCAAGCCTTTCAAGTCTGCAGAATTTTGAAATTTATGATGATGCCTCGGAGCTTTTCAAGCCTGTTCTCATTCTTATCGCACCTTATCGGATTGCGATCTTCATCCCTCCTATTGCATCATGAAGCAAAACGGTCATTGGGTGGATACTTCCCAATGGATAATCCGCGTGCTGCAACTTGCATGAACAAGGTTTGAGCTACCCCCAGCCTGGCAATAGCCGAATCGACTGCTTGAAAGAGACAGCTTTGTGAATTTGTGAAGAATCTTGAAGAGCTGATCTTTGTTTATTCCCTAAACAATAGACTTACAAGATAATCAATGAGAAACGCCATGGCAATGGTTCATTTCTTCATTTCTTTATTCAATCTTCCCTTTTCTCTTTATTCCTTGCCGCCAATGATTGAATATTACACACAATAGCGTTTCAGCTGTTCAAATTTCCAAGATTCCAGATGGAAAGAAAGTCTCTTTTTAAATGTTTTCCTTTGTCTTCTTTTGGCCCCTGGAGATCTATCTCCTTCATTTTCGCTTGACGCTAATTTATCATTCCGAAAAACTAGATCAATTTTAGCGAATTGCGTGCTCGGCAAATACGTCGACATGTTGAAAATATTCCCACCTCGCCCACTTCATCCACTTCATCCACTACGATCCCATTTATTTTGTTCCGGATTCACAAAGAGCTGTCTCCATTTCCCTTGGTTTCCCTTGGTTCCCTTAGTCTCCTTGGGGTTTCTATACGGAAGATCTAGGTGGAATCTTTGTGTTCAACCAAAATAAGATCGGGGTAAAGAAAGCATAATGATGGTAAGAATGGTAATGATGATTTCATATCCACTAAAATGTGGTACTCGTAACACTAGATCAACTGTGCCATGAAATAGACTGACAGGACAGTATGAAGGATACTACCGAAACTACCTATGAAAGGAAAAGAATTTTGTAGTATAGAGGAACTCCGCTCTGAGAAGAGATGGGTAAAGAAATGGCTAGAAAAAATGGCCATAGTGTATTTCTAATCCCCCCCTGATAAATGATTTCCCCATAGTACTCGTACACCGAATACCTGTGGTTACGTTTACACCCAAATCAATTTAAGACATTTGATTGTGATATGAGGCTCGAACTTACACCCTTGGTCCCTTGGAAATTGAAGCCCTTTCTCTAGAGTCTAGAGTAACTACAGTAGCTCTTCTTGAATCTCAAAATCTTGAAGCTCGACACATCTCACGGTTGTGGGATACGCCTACCCTGTCATGTCAAGAAGAGTAGCCATCCGCCACTGCCATCTCCACGTCCCCATAACCAGAAAAACAAAATACAGAGATTTAGAGCATACCAATTCAAATACCTAACAAATCCATTCCTAATAATCATTATTACATTATTACCACAAGTAGGTACTTTCACCATTTTTAAATGTACATCCATCAAATCACATTATATTGTACCCTTGCCAACGAATGTCATCTCTCCAGCACGATCCCGTCACCACGAATATCCTCTTCCATTTTGAGACAATTCTTCCGCAAGTCTTTCTAGCTTCACAGTAGTATAATATTAGAACCCCCAAAACTCGAAGAGTTTGCAAGCCCGTTATACTTGGCTTGACGTCTACTACCAAAGTATTTCAATTCAAAAGGCTCCAAAATCCGGATCAGCCTAAGGTTACACACAGGGATTCACTTATTTTCCTGGTCGTTTCCTTTGCTCTTCTCTCTTCCATCTTATTCATCCACGAGCACGCAATACATTGGTGGCGCACCCCCAAATTTCGAAGAGGTCAATTGCTGAATGCCACTCTTGGATCACGTCTTACCTTTTCAAGTCTTTCGAGAACAAAAGCCTCTTTTTTTACAATTAGAAGCTGCACTATCTCATCCAGCTTTCGACCTGCATTTGAATAGTTCCGATGTCAGACAATTTTACTTTTTGTTAAATATCATTTTTCCAATTGTCAGATACAAAATCATCTGATTTCGACCCGACTCTCTGGGAGCAGATACGGCTATATCAGCCCTGCATCCGCTCATAAAGTTACAGATTCTTGGATAACCATCTGGGAGTAACTGCAGATCGCCTTGTCATATCTGTCAAGTCAGATCTACTGACACCCACCCTTTGCGGAATAGCCTTTTCCTCGTCCACTTAATCTTCCGCTATCTCAGGTTTCACAGCCAAGTTGCTTTTTACCACAATGGCTGCTACCAAAGTTGGCCATGGATTGGCCAAGGTCCTCGGTATCAAACTCAACTATCGCGATGAACTCAACAGTCAGGAGATTCTACGAGGAGAGTCAGTTTTTTCCATTCAAACAGCCGATACATTCGTAGAGGAAGAACCTCGAAGTCTGGAATGGATCCAGGATACCCTTCCAAATCGACACGATCTCGCCGCTTATGGCCGCTCGCTATTTCCATTTTTAAGCTGGATTGGATGCTATAACTTGCAATGGCTGTTTGGAGATTTGGTAGCTGGTGAGTAGTACCGAATACTTTCTGGTGAGTATGATTATTAATGTTGATCAGGTATCACTATCGGTGCTGTCGTCGTACCTCAAGGTATGGCTTATGCTACCCTCGCTGAGCTCGAACCTCAATTCGGTCTTTACTCTTCCTTCATGGGAGTTCTTGTCTACTGGTTCTTCGCTACGTCCAAGGATATCACTATCGGACCTGTTGCTGTCATGTCAACTCTCGTCGGTCAGATTTTGGTGAAAGCTGCTGTCACCAATCCTGATGTTCCTGGCCATGTCATTGCATCTTGTTTGGCTGTAATTGCTGGTTGCATCATCGCTTTTATTGGACTTATTCGATGCGGTTGGATTGTCGATTTGATTTCTCTCACTTCCATTTCGGCGTTCATGACTGGTTCCGCTATCAATATTGCTGTTGGACAAGTTCCAACCTTGATGGGTATCACAGGCTTCAGCTCTAGAGCTTCAACCTATAAGGTTGTGATCAACACATTGAAGGGTCTTCCTAATACGCAACTTGATGCAGCCATCGGCTTGACAGCCCTTTTATTATTATATACTCTTAGAGCTGTAAGTTGTGAACCTTTGCCAACACCTTGATCATTACTAATTATCATTCTTAGGCTTGTAATTATGGAGCTAAGAAGTTTCCAAACCACAAAAGAGCATTTTTCTTTGCCGCAACTCTTCGAACCGTATTTGTTATTTTGTTATACACATTGGTTAGTTGGCTTGTAAACATGCATCATCGCAAAAAGCCACTCTTCAAGATTCTTGGTAAAGTTCCACGAGGATTTCAAAATGCTGCTGTACCAGAAGTCAACTCTTCAATTATCAACATCTTTGTAGGAGATTTGCCAGCCACTGTCATCGTTCTTCTTATCGAGCACATCGCAATCTCGAAATCCTTCGGACGTGTCAACAACTATGTTATCAACCCATCCCAAGAGATGGTAGCTATCGGTGTCACCAACATCTTTGGCGCTTTCCTTGGTGGCTATCCAGTTACCGGATCGTTCTCTCGTACAGCTATCAAATCGAAGGCTGGTGTTCGAACTCCATTCGCTGGTGTCATAACCGCTGTCATCGTTCTTCTTGCAATCTACGCACTTACCGCAGTCTTCTTTTACATTCCAAGTGCAGCTTTATCTGCAGTCATTATTCATGCTGTCGGAGATCTCATCACACCCCCGAATACCGTCTATCAATTTTGGCGTGTATCCCCTCTCGAGGTTCCGATTTTCTTCGCAGGTGTCATTGTTACCGTTTTTACCACCATTGAAGATGGTATCTACGTAACTATTTGCGTTTCATTCGCCGTTCTCATTTTCCGAATTATTAAAGCTAGAGGACGCTTCCTTGGTAAAGTCAAGGTTACTTCGGTCGGTGGTGAAATTGCCGAATATAGATCAGCACCTTTGGCCGACAATGGCACTTTCCCAAAATCTGATGCCACTCAATTCGAAGATTCTGGATCTCGAACAGTGTTCCTTCCTTTCGACCACGGTGATGGAACTAATCCAGAGGTTGATGTTCAAACTCCTTATCCTGGCATCTTCATCTATCGATTCTCAGAAGGATTTAACTATCCAAACGCTAATCACTATCTCGATCACTTTACTAATACAATCTTCGCAACAACCCGTCGAACTAACCCCGACCATTACGCTCGACCTGGTGATCGCCCATGGAATGACCCCGGTCCACGTCGCGGCAAAGCTGCTGAAGATCATAGCGATCGCCCTACCCTCAGAGCTATCATTCTCGACTTCAGCTCCGTCAACAATGTCGATATCACCTCCATCCAACAACTCATCGATGTTCGCAATCAACTCGATACTTATGCATCTCCTTCAGTCGTAGACTGGCATTTCACCTCTATCAATAACCGCTGGACCAAGCGTGCTCTCGTTGCCGCTGGATTCGGATACCCAACTCCCGAGGAAGAAGGATCACACCGCTGGAAGCCCATATTCTCGGTTGCGGAAATGGGAGGTCAAGATAGTGCGGCGGCAGCAGCAGAAGCTGAATCCAACGAAAAGGAAATCAAGGAACAGCGAACGCGCGAACGGGATTTAAGAAATGGAGATCAAATTAGAGGAGATAGTGAGAGTGGAAGTGGTAGTGATTTGAAAGCTGTGTCGAAGAGCGTCACGAGGTCGAGAACGGCTGTTGTTACTGGCTTAAATAGACCATTATTTCACGTCGATCTTACGAGTGCGTTCCAGAGTGCAGTGGCAAATGTCAAAGCGAGAGAGGCGTTTGAGGAAAGAGGAGGGAGGGATACTGGGGTTGTGGCTTAAATTTTGGGGATTTTGGACGTTTTTGTTTTTGGATTGGTTACCTTTTTGGTCGTTTTGATACCACGAGTGCTTGGATATGATGATAAAATTATGGGGTTGGCAGGATATTGGATGACTGGTCGGGTTGTTTCTATATGAAGTAATGGTCACCCACCGAACTCGGATTCACGTCCTTGATTAATATATAAAGATTTCTTCCTGGATAATTTCTCTTTCTTGTTTAATTTGCAACATGAAATCGTGACTTTGAAGTCTTCCTTGCCATCGTCAACCTATGTCACTTATGTGGGCTACGCCACCTATGCAGCAGTTGCATGCTACGCCGCGAATTTTATGATTCTATCAAGCCAAACACACCAAGTCAGCTCGAGCATAGATAGGAATTTACTGTGCTAGAATTGTGTACTCTCAAACTCTACCCGCAATATATCAACTTGTAGCGCAAAGCATAAAAGGGCTGAGCTGGACATACACTTGTTCATCAGTCCAACAGCAAGTATCAATTCCCTCTCACCGAAAAAGGCAATTCCAACCGCTCTAAACATGTGCCGCAGGCCAATGATCCAAAGTCCTGAGATGAGATAGGATGAACCCTTCCCAACATTAATATAGTTCCAACATGTTGGTAGATCATAATTGATGAGGAGAGTGCAAGGCGAGGAGACCTTAAAGTCGATCACCCACCCAGTCCTCAAAACTCAGTATCGATACCGTCTCACTTATTAACTTCTCAAAGATCCTTCCTAATCATGAGGACCACCACCTATCTAGCTCTAGCGACTACGGGAATACTATTCACCGTATATCTACACCAGAAACTCACCAACCATCTCACCATCACAGACTTCGAACGCAAAAATGGCTGTATGCCGCCGACAAGATATCCACACAAGGACCCATTTCTCGGACTCGAATTCTTCCCCAAGATGAGCGCCGCGATGAAAACAGGAACAGTACTCCAGACAAACTGCGAACTATACGCCCGATATGGAAACCCCATCCAGAGCAACTCTTGGGGCACACCCGTCATCTACCCGTCACGAATCGGAGAACATCAAAACTATCCTCGCGCTTTCATTCGGGAATTTCGGAAAAGTGAAGATGAAGCCGGAGAAAGGGGTTGGGTCGCTGGAAGCCCAGGGAATCTTTACCGCGGATGGGAAAATTTGGCAACGCTCGCGTGCGCTCATTAGACCTACATTTGCGAGGACTGGGATTTCGAATTCTGGGGCGTTGGAGAAACATGTTGCGAGATTTTTGGAGCTTCTTCCGCGTGATGACTCGACGGTTGATTTGCAACCGCTTACGAAGAATTTGGTATGGTGAATCTTTTTCTCTTGCTATTGTTTATTTTGCCGTGGCCGGCTTACTATTATCTGCCTGTTTGACCAAGTGACTGACTGGTTGTCTGTCTGCATCTCCCAGTTTCTAGACGTCTCTACCGAATTCCCATTCGGCGAATCTGTAGAGTCTCAATCCCCAAATACCCCCTTCGATGCTCGAGAATTCCTCGATGCATTCGATATGACCATGCGTGGTCTCGGCGCACGAATGATGCATGGGGAGCTGAGATTCATTCGCGGTCGAGATATCGAGTGGAAAAAAGCTTTCGGGAAAGTACATACATCTATTGACAAACACGTGTCTCGGGCTCTGGAGAGTCAGAAAAGTGCAGAAAATAATGAAGAGGAAGATAAGATTCCCACTCAAAAACAGTATATACTCTTGAACGAAATGGCAAAAGAAACGCAGGATCCGGTTGATTTACCCTATCAGCTTTTTCATGTATTGATCCCTGCTCATGATGCGACGGGTATAGCTGTTAGCAATGTATTTTTTTTATCTAGCTCGTGATGCGGATCGATGGGATAATTGCGGAGAGAAGTACTCGCTGCGACGACCGGACAGACGCTGAGTTTCGAAGTCCTGAAGTCAATGAGATATCTACGATATGTGTTTAATGAAAGTACGTATAATAGATTCTCGCTTGATACCGTTCAAAAATTCCCATCTTGGTATGTTCTAGTAATGAAAGATCCAGTCTGATCAACCATTTCCACCAAGTCTCCGTCTTCACCCCACCGCACGCTTCCCACGGCGAGTATGTCACAAAGACACCATTTTACCGCTTGGGGGTGGCCTCATGGTAATGCTCCCTTCATAGTCAAGAAGGGTAGTAATATTACATGTGATATCCACGCATCACATCGTGACAAAAGCTACTGGGGCAGCGATGCCGACGATTTTCGTCCCGAGAGATGGGAGACCTTGCGACCAACTTGGGAATACCTTCCATTTTCAGGGGGGCCGCGCATTTGCCCTGCTCAGCAGATGGTTTTATTGACTCGGCGGATGTTATTGTGAGGGTGATGCAGAGGTTCTCGAAAATGGAAAGTCGGGATTCGAGACCTTAGATGGAATTGTTTAAGATGGCGGTGGAGAATGAGAATGGGGTGAAAATTAGGTTGGTGTAGGATGAACTAGATGTTTAGGGGAAGTTTGAGGAGATTTTGCACAGAGTCGATTTGGATTAGAGCAAAATGTATCCTAGCCAGATTTTGCTTCGTTTGTTGATTCCTCTTAAAATAGCCGATCGAGTCAATAGACCAGTACATTTAAATGGAAAATTCATAATAACAATGTAACAGATTCCATCCGCAACTTGAAGACTTATCAGGATACTTATGAAGTATGAAGTAATACGTAGACTGCACTTACAGAAAAAGAAGATGTAGGGAAAATGTTACAGAAATGCCACATTAGTTAGTACTGAGGTACGAGAGACTATAGAAATTAGTGAAAGAATCTGAGATATCAGAACGCAGCCCAAAGCTACTGGAGGGTCTGAACGTGAGATAAGCCGAGGCCTGTTGGAAAGAATTTGAATGGAGGAAAGTCCTGTGATAACAGACGTGGTCTGTAAGAACGGGAATACTAAGTAGGCAACTCTTCAATCAAGATCATCTCGCCTTGGTATTATACCACCTAGACCTCCTGAATTGTCACTCAATACCGTCCATTCTATCCATCCCGTCAGAATCAGACTGAATCAACCCCTTACTCCTCCTTAACCCTTATTCGGCATCAATAACCCTCACCTCCCTCGCGACCACATTGCAAAGCTCAACCCTGATCCCGGCCCCCAGAAGTACATATATCCACATTCTTTGCGTATCGCTTAGTCGATCATTCTCGCTTTTCACCTCCACGAAGAGTACTTCTTTTTTCCTTCTCCTTTTGATGGTTTCTTGTGACCCATTCCTGGACTCGTTCTTCACTTGCGGCTCTTTCCTTTCCTCCTCGACTTCTTGGGGGATTGCGGTCTTGATATATTTCTCTTCCTTTATTTCCCCTTTCACCAGCGCTTGTTTCGTTGGCTCATCCTCCACTTCTTCCTCCACTCCATCATCCCATAAAAACAAATCCGGTACTCCACCCCCTCTCAGCCTATACTCCTCCGCCATAACCCTCATCACCTTCCCCAACCCACTGCCAAAAGCCTCCACAATTCCTTCCAAGTCCTGCCTCTCAAAGTCCCACCTCAAACCCACTACACACGTCTTTCTCTCCTCTTCCCTCTCCCAAACCTCCCTTATAATCTCCGCTGCCATTCCATTCTCAATCTCCACAATGCGATGATTGATTTCCGACGCTCGAGCTTCATAGAATGACTCGGTGTGTAAGTCTAGAGGGCAAGTTTGGTATTCCGTCTGAAATACATTGGGGATGTAAAGAAATAGAATGTCGAAAAAGAGGTATGCGAATAGAGTCCGTAGAATGCCACCTTCGGAGTGGTAGCCGCGAAATCCGAGGCTGCGATAGTAACTTAGAGTTAATTGTTCAACGGAACATTCGCATGGGTTTGATGGAGATTCATATTCATCTAACCAAATGGTTTTGGTACTGCGTTGTCTCTCTTCAAATCCATTGGGTGCGCTGGATTTACGTCGGAGAATTGTTGATGTGAGATACGATTTCTTGATTTGAATTCCTTGAATAGTTGTTTGGATAGGTTTAGAGAGAAGAACATGCTCGAAATCGTGTTTTTCTCTCTTTGGAATCTTGAGTGTCTTCTCAAGTTTACGGATTCGTTTCTGTAAGTCGTAGTGATAGATTGTATGACAATATCGATCTTGAAGACCTTGCTCGCATGTTTTGAGCGATATACGTTTCCAATGACGTTTTTGTTGTTCTGGATCTTTGATGCCTGGGGCTGGGAGGATAGTATACATATAGTGTTCTTCTAGAAGAGCTTTGCGTTGATACCATGCACCCCTTCGGGCTGAATGGAAAAGCTTCTGACAAAGGAGTTCGATGAGTAAAGCGTATTCTTTTTCGTAAGACTTAAATCGTCCCAGTACGTAGAGGGCTTTATGCACGATGCGTGTGTAGACCCATGCTGGAGAAAATCGACGAAGGTAGCCACCCTCTCCACTTTCATATATGGAGTCTTCTTTGCGTTGTTCTTCTGCGAGGAGAATTTTCCAACGGGGGTATATGGCTTCGAAAGTTTCAAGAACTTGGTCTAGTTCGGATTTTCCAGGATGGCCATCGAGAATGTTGTCGACGCGGTATTGCGTTCGAATAGAGGCTTCAAATTCGAGGAGGGTGGAACGAGTGGGGAAGATATTGGTTGATCGTGAGACAATATAGGAGGGGAAGTTACGGCGGGAGATTCTGGCAAGAATGATTGTGGTTAGAGATTTATCGGTCCATTCAGTTGATCTGTAGAAGACAAGATGGACTCGTTCGAACAAGTTCAAAGCTGGTAGTGAAAGTCGTATACACGGTCCTGTGATAGCCATGATCTTTCTGAGGAAATGAACATCTCTGTTCACATGATGGAGACTGTCGTCTTCTTCTTCTTCTTCATCTTCGAGAATCGATCCATCTGGAGTTGTAGGGTTTGATTTCAAGGCACTATCAGCTCTTTTCAGCCCAACATAACCGAGTCCAGCCTGTTTTTGACTTGTTTCACGAAGTGCTTTCAGTATATCAGCTTTGTTTTTTCCTTGAACCTTGAGTTCTTTTGCTAAGCTCTTTAGTTCATCCAGGTTCAATAGAGATAATGCTTCATCTAAGGTTTTGATCTGATCTTCTGAAGAATCAGCAAAATTCAACGAGTCTCCAAGGACTGTTCCTTCGGGAGGTCCAAACTCTGCTGGATTGACTTGAACTGTTGCGGTTGATTCTGGTAATACACGAATAGATTGCAGAACTTTCGAAGCTGCAGAAACATCCGTCAAATCTCCATGATAACCCAAGCGGTTTATACGATGCCATGCTGAAGTTTTTCGTAAGAAGAGACGTACATACCTACGTTCGTCAGCTCTGAAAAGTTATAATTCAGACATGATAATCGGGCCTTACAAATACTGAGCTTCATAATCCAATTCTCTCCATTGCTTAAAAACATCCATTTCCTTCTCATTGAACAGATGCCCCTCGTCTTCCAACACAGTTTCCAATGCAAGATTGAAAGCATCACTGTAAATACTACTTTTACCCCTCTCCCAAGTCCTCCCGGTTAGCCTCGCTTTGAGATCATCTGGAAGATTTTCATTCTCGGCACGCATTGCTTCATATTCAGCAATTGCATTCTTGTTAATAACAACTGGTGGCAATACACTCTCCAATTCCGTCACTCTGGGTGCCACAAGCTGATCCGCTTCATCTTCCCCTTCATCTTCCGAATCGGGTATTTCAGTAATTCTGAATTGAATTGGACTTCGATTTCGTGGGGATAAGGGTAATGATTCATCTTCATTGGAAGGACAACCGAGAACTAAGATCATCACCATCTATACTCTCTGCAGTTTTCAAACGCTTTGAAGGTGGCAATAATTTATCTTTAAAGTCTTGCGGTATCTTACGTTGAGTTTTTCGATGTAGCATAACGTTGTGATTGGAGTTCCTAATCTCTTCGAGTACCATTATGCCGAATTTTATGTATACAGAAGTACTTCATCCATCGCAAATAATGTCATGGCAAGAACATATCTTACATCCGCGTCTCCAAGCGCGTCACCCATTTCAGCATACGCCTGAGCACGTTACCAGCTACCGTACGTTATTCACCGCTTTGGCAGAAAGCAATTCTCCTCCACCCCATTACACAATCCAATCATAGTGACATAAACCTATACCCAAACCTTCATAAGTCCACACCTAACTCCACATCCAGCATGTCGCAACCCAACACGCCATCACCCGAGATCAACCCTAACAGCACACCCAGCATCAGTTCGGCCGCGCATACCTATCAACTCGCCATGCAAACACAATCGTCCTCCACACCCCCCTCATCCACACCTTCCGGCGTCCTCCAAATGCCTGGTGCAACACGCGATGTGGTTATGGAAGATGCGCCTCTTCATAGACCTGCAGTATGCCTCATACTTCCCCCAGACCCTGATCCTCCACCCATCCCTCCACCTTCTCCTTCCTCTCATCCTTCAAATTCAATTGGACGTTTCCTCTCGCGCCTGTCTTCTGCATTAGAAATCTCTATACTTACTCATACAACTCTTTTACAGTCTCCAGCCGCTGCAATTCTCCCACCCACTGCTCAAACTCAATCACAAACACATTCTCATTCGCCCATTCTACCCCCCTCGCACCAAGCTTCAACTTCATCTGCGAATATAAATCGCGAAACAGCTTCTCCAGCGCCCGTTCCTGCGCGCACAAGTACGCCAGTACCGAAGGTAAATGGGAATGCCGAGAAGGAAAATTCGTCGAGAGCTACTAGCCAACATCCTGATACGGGGCCGTCTTTGCCAACTGAAGCAAGTGTGCATGGAGCGCCAGCAAGGGTTTACTTGAATCAGACTGTTACGGGAAGTTTATTAGAGGGCATGAAACTATTAGCCAAGGACCAGTATGTACCTTGGGTCTGCTGCCCGACAGGAATCTCTCACGGTGCGTATAAACTAACAATTATTTCATAATAGACCAAAAGATCCTTTACGAGTATTGGGAGAATTTTTACTTTCAAAATCTAAGGAGTTGGAAGGAGGGACTTAAAGATAGATGGATTTAGTTATAATACCCCTTGGCACACCAAAATCGTTTCAAGATGGGCGTTCAAGGAGTGAAATATCACGTTAAAATAATTGGACAACAATTGAGAACAAGGCTGGCGCTAGAAGTATTTCTTAATATTTAATTTGCTATTTAGTTTTTATGCCAATATAGCAGTACTCCTTCTCAAGAAAGTAGTATAGTTTGCGATGCAATTATGTCCACACCCCAACTCCATATCCATTTTGTCATGGTGAAACTTTTTATGCGACCATGGTGCTGGCAGTGGCACTCTCGTATCTCCAGGTTGGTGGGAGAACACCGACGGTCTTGTAGTAACGGGAGAGACGGTGGATACGGGATTCGATGAGAATCAAACGGAACTTGGAGTCCTTGTCCTTGCGGTTACGCTCGAGATGCTTGCGGACAGCAACGGCCTAGATTTCATGGGTTAGTATAATTCAACGTTAGCTATGAGGATATTATTGAACGTACCTTCTTGATTAACATGTAAAGGTCCTCTGGGATCTCTGGGGCAAGGCCTATTTTGTCACTCTGTCAGTCTATGACCAAGCAGAGGCGTATGTAAAGATATAATTGACACATCAAGGATGTACTATAATCCAATGATGGCATATATGGAACTATTCATGTAATGTTGGGTATCGTACCGTTGGACTTGAGGATTCTAAGAATCTTGTTACCTGCAGAGATAAAAATGTTAGCATTTGCATTTCTCTCAAAATAAGATCCAGCCCGCATCAATTGCAGAACGAGGAAATCAACATACCAGTAACAACCTTAACTTGAGCAATACCGTGAGAATCTCTCAAGACAACACCGATTTGGGAAGGAGCAGCACCCTTCTTGGCAAGCTTGCAGATTTGGTCAACAACTTGCTCTGGGGTGGTCTTGAGCCACGAAGGAGGAGCACGGGAGTATGGGAGAGCAGAGGAAGATATTCCCTTTCCGTTGGAGTGAAGACGACCCATTTTTGCGGTATTTGTCGACGGTGATTAAACTGGTCGTTAGATTGAGATTGTCGAGAGGTGTTGAAGTTTTGAAAATGTTCGTCGTCGCAATATTATCTGTGTGGATTATTCGTCGCTTAGCTTACGCTAAAAACTGGTCTTTTCCTTTTCTATGCTAGACCTAATATTGACTAGCGCAATTTGAACATCATAAGAGATTTCTCAAGTCCAGAGCTTTTTAATTTTCCGACAACAACTCTGATTCACCAACAGAGGTAATGATCAATTCATCATGATTGATTGAGGATCAGCCTCATTTTTTGTACTGATCATTTGGAACATTCAATTGCCCTGCGCTATCATTTAAATGTAAGACATTCCCTTTCCATTCCCAATCAGCCGAGAAGATCCAATGATGATATTTGTTTTTACTATTTTTCTGGTACCTCTTGTTTTAGGACTCTCTGCGGAGGGAACAATGAACTAACTGAACATCTGATTAACCTTCTCGGTTGTTGTTCTTTCATGATACTGTATATCTATACATGATCAGTAACTAAACTCGAAATAGAAAACTTTTCCATAAACCAATTCCTCGCGTCGCAAAGGTCAACATTCTTGGAAAGCATGTAAGGTCTGGTGGATATCAGAGATGCCTATGAAGGGTTTTATATTTGCCCAATGTCGATGAGCCGATGTATGTTTCACGACTACGCTTAGGCTTGATTGGTGTCATTTTGCATATGATATTGCCAGTCTTGCTCTTTACTCGGCGTATAGGTAGGTTTCCGGAATGGATTTGTATCTTGAGAATCGTGTACTTCTTCAAGTGATGTGTTGCTTAGCTGGCAGGAGGGAAAACTTCTGCGCAATTTTATATAGAATACAATAATGTTTTCAATGTCTTGTAACGCTGTTTATCTATTTGACTGTCATGTGTGATTTTTCCCGATTCAGTGATTTGCTTCACTTGATCCCTCATGACTCTATTGGAGTTTATGGAATCAAATCAATAGGTGTGGAACTCCCTCGCCATCAATGAGGCAATTTCATGCAGCAGTTATAGTGTTGTATCCTAGCAGATTGTCTGCGTTCAACCTTTATATATTTCCATCAAGGGTTTACATAGATACCTACGTGAGCATTTTTATAAGCTTGTTTGACCTTTTCATCAGTTCAAATCATATTCACGAGTGATTAATCTAAAGTCATCACATTCAGCCAATAAAGTTGCTTCCTAATTTATCAAGTGTTCGTCCTGGCAATAACTCTCCAAGCCATCTTCCGTGACACTCCTTGCGTGATCCTCTTCTAGGTCTCCTGATGCTACTTCTCAACATCCATAATCTCATGATTTTTCACCAGCAAATTCGTTTCGTCAGCCACCCCCGCGAATCGTGCAGACCTGCAAGGAGCGTTTCCGTCAAGAGCACTTTTGAAATCTTTCTGCTTTGGTCCAATAGGGTATTGGAGACGGGAGAGAAATAATCTAGTATAAGGCCGGTTTTCAAGAAGGTAACTTTGAGGATCTAGGAGGTGTGAGAATGGATGTGTAAATGGAGGAAGAGGGTAACACATACCTTTTCATCTCGAATGAACTCTCTAAGACATTCTCGCACAGTAAGTCTTCGACACATGATGATGTTTCAACACATTTCTCTCTACCACACCATCGCCAAATCATTTAGCCATTCTTCATCTCAAGTTTGCTCACTTCTCTTGGGCAGAATAGAAAGTCAACCATACGTATCCACTGCAACATCGGTTCATGTTCTCTGAACAATGCTCTCTTTATCACTACCTGATTAAAGTAGCTCAAGTTTGGATGCGTTGTAGGTTCTTCTGGAATCAGTTCCCGTTTTGAATAAGTGAATAGGATGACGGACTTCGGAAGAAGGGTTAGAATGAATAACTTAGAAGAAGAGGGGGAGAAATAGAAGGAACATCTGACTTGTGAGAATTAGGATCTCGTGATTATGAATTCTCTAGTTGGATTGAGATGTTTGTTAAACGTCCAATTGAGATTGGTATCATTATCTGTCGAGTCTGGAGAGGAGACAGGGGGGAGATTCCCAGTAGATATAGATAGATATAGTATCCTTTCCTCGGCACCAATCATTAGAATCTCAAGCTTGATTTAAATTCAAGGCCCTCGGGCTTTCCTGATCAGGCACGTTTGAACTCTGTATATTGAGCAAAGTCTATGAGAAATGAGGAATGAGGAATCAGACTTCAACTTCTGAGTCTTGAGAGGAGATCTCTGCTCAAAAAATACAATTTCAAAGTGTCTAAACCCACTCTGAGATATTCAAAAAATAAATCGTAGATGTATAAACACGGTGTTCGGTAGAAAGCAATGAAGAGACGGGCCTCTATGGGTTATACTCAAGTATATGATCAAATCTCGCGATTAGCCAGTACTAGTCCAAGGTATGAGATATGAGATGCAACAATATCCATCATCTGATTTCTGGTGATCTCGGCCTTGGACTAGCTCCCTTCTAGTACGGCAATGTCATGATAAAGAGAATGGATACTTATATGTGAAGACCCAGGGTCTTGTTGGATTTAAGGAATAGGGAGGTCATGCGAATATTGATGATACTGTAGTTCAACAGTAACTAACAACTTAGCAAAGTACGAACTTAAAGATATTTGGCTTCTAGTGGATATGTAGACTTAGCTTCATGACATCTATCTCCACTATGGATACCCAACGCCATCAGAAGACTATGTATACATCATAATCCAGCACAGTACAAACAGGAGTGAAATCATCAGATAACAGGTTTAGATGTTTTCTATTTGATGTCATTATAATACATACAAACAATACTAATAAAGTACAGATCGTCATTACATAGGCGGGGTAAATCCCATACCTAATTCGAGATCTCGGGACTCGAGATCTCTATGTATATCTACTACAACTGTAGCAGTATTAGTACCCTCGAACCAGTACGTTCGATGACCATTTCGGCCTCTCAATGGGTATATGGGTATCTTGAACACATTATACCCCACCTCTCTCGATAATCACATCCACCCAATTGGAGCCCTTTTGTATCCAAACGGCCTTTTCTTGGACAAAGGAAAAAGGTTTTGGGTTCCAGGTTCCGTTACTTTTGTATCCTGACTTGATCTATGTAGGTGACTATCCAAAGTCTTTCCATCCCGCGTGGAGTGACGAGCCGAACCCTCTATTCCTTTTAGCTCCATCGCCTGGCCAAGCCGCCGAGTCGCCAAGCCCCCAAACTCCTGTTTGACCCTAAGTAAAGGATAGTATGAAACATCGCTAAAAAAATGCTTGAAAATAAATAAAAATATACATGTCGAACCCATATCAGAATTTGTTCGTGTTTGAATTCATGGGTAGAGCATATGTTGTGGTCGAATCCCATGATTGTGGCGGATGGGGTTTGGAAAATGAACGTGACGGTGATTTATATCTTGCTTCTCTGCCAAAGTAGTCTGGTGTTTCTCGACCACTTTTTCGAACGGGTGAAATTGGAGTGACGGCTTCTGGAGTTTCGTATGCCTCCATGTTCTTGCTGTCATGTTGATCTCGATCCTTGCTAAGCATTTCGTAGGACCTGGGATCCTTGAAGGCGTGAACATCGGCGCTGACAAATTCATTGTTGGGCTTTATTTTTCCACGGTACATCTCATACCAGCCTGTGATCATTGCCTTTCTGCCTAAGAATATTGCTGCCCAGAAGCCATTGAACTAAATTGCATTAGCACTTGAGTAGAGTGACGATGGCAATGGGGAGAACTTACGGATAGCATGACAAGGACCGCACCAACGGTAGCCTCGTTCACAACTAAAGATTTCGCTAAAGGGAAACACTCTTTTTTACCTCCACCAGTGCGTACCAAACATGTTAACCATTGCTCAGCTTTGGTAGGATCCTTGAGAATATTTGTTTCTAAATCATCCATGAAGACAAACACAATCGCAAAGAACGCGACATCAGCGATAATCACTAGTACAATAGCGATACCTCTCCATTGTAACTCAACCACTCGGCGAACTCGACGATATGCTTGTCGTGGTGAAACAGTACGCACACTGTTAGTGTACGAAGGTAGAACTCCTGAAGTTTCCGTGGTGTTGGAATCGTCTGCGAGGGATGAAAGATATACTTTGATGCAGTAACCGAAAGTAACAAACTGGATGATAACGGTGGCGCCAGAGAAAATTAGAAGAGGGATCCAGAAGTCCGCTAGACTGTTCTTGTGATTGATATGGCAAGTATCTCCAAATCGGAAGGAAACACCACTGAAGATCATTCCAAAACATAATGCAATGGCCGGTATTCCCCATCCAGTAGCAAGAGCTCCCCACATGAATGACTTTCCAATAATCACCTGCCAACAGATCTGTAGATGTAAGGCGAGGGACCTTAAGAAGACCCACATCACACCACACCAGCCTCCAGCCATTATGAATGCGCCAGAGATTGCGCAAGTAAAGTTGGTGCTCATATCGTTCGGAGTGATCGCGTTATAGCATTGATCAGGGTTTGCGCTTAATGGTATAATGAATCCCAACTTCAACGACATATGTTAGGAAACGCTTGGGAGAAGGCACGGGAACTGGTGACTCACCTGCATCAAAACTGTAGCAATAACCAAGCAGATACTGAGGTAGTGCCTATGGGTCTTCTCAACTGGCAGAAATGCGAAGCATATCAACAAGTATATAGAACATATCATCGCCGCTACACTGACCCAATTTGCAGATTCGGTGAGGGTGTTGATGCTTTCACCGTACAACCATTCACTCTGTGGACATGGCAAGCAGCAAACGACCCCCAAGGTGGTAGAGCAAAACCTTCCATCGGTAACTATATGTTGTCAGCATGGTGAAGCGGACCGGAGAGTATGCAAGACATACAACCACCCGTTGATGGGAAGAGATCTGCCTCAAGGAACGGCGCTGGACACCTGCCCTGGCCAAAAATTGTTGAATTAGAACCGCTCATTATGGAGATGAGAATCAATAATCGTAATAGAGG